TCTTGATTTGTATATTGCTTTTATTGATTTGTTGTTTGTGTTTTAATCAGGGGGTATTTATATTTTCATTGTTTTTATTGCCTTGGTTTTTATTGTAAGCCACCCAAAGTCACCCTCTGGGGGAGATGGGCAGCATATAAATTTAATAATAAAATAAAATAAGCCCCAGCCAGCACAGTTGATGGCCAGGAAATTGTGCAAACTGTAGTTCTGAACTGATTTGGGAATGTGGTCATTATTTTTGTGTAAGAATCTCTAGAATAATGTGAGATAGGACACTGCAACCATGAGAGAATATGCAGAATTACTGTTCTCTGATTTTGGGCAGTTCCATTCCTGTTTCAATCAGGTAATTTGTAGTTCACAGTATTCTGGAAATGCCTCTCCTCCAATCCTTTCAAGAGGACTTTGGAGAAGACTGTGCAGCTGGAAGAAATAAAACATCCTTTTGCCAACAACTGTGGCCAAATGTTCATGGTTTGTTAGCCTTTGATGCCTTTGCTAGTCATTTCATTTCACTGAGGATCTGTTCCAGTTGTCATAAACCCATAGCCTCAAATTAGGCAAAAAAATGAGGGGTGAGAATATCTGCTGGGTAAAAATATTTACTAATAAGACAGTAAAGTAGCTGGGCACAATAATGGATCTCACTCTCTGCCCTATAAGTAGTCAGCATGGCAGTTGACCCTCTCCCTATTGTGATCCAACAAAGATGTCAATATATGTGCCTGGCTTGCTCAGTGATACTGGAAAGATTTCCCCCATGCGCACACACTTTGGTGGTGGGGCCTATTCATTTGAGGTATGTTCTTGACACAGAAATCTCTGTTGAGGCCATGAAGAGTTTTGCACAAAGGCTGAAGAGGTAGTGTACCGAAGTAGCTGATAAATGTAGCAAGAAATGTACAAAACAGCCCACAGCACTTCCTCTGCTGACTGTTCTGAAGTTGGTTCTGCTTCTTTCTACTACTTGGAAAAAGTCTTTTTCCTATGGTACTGTGTTGTATATCGTATCATAACAACCTTTCTTCCACTCCACATTTGTGGGGGGGACAGGAACCAGTGACTGTCCATCAAGATTAGAGAGGCTAAATCCTGTGCAGAAAGTGCTTGCTTCAACCAATAATTAAACATGATGATATATATTGTCTCAACTTTGGTCAATTGCTCTTCAGTGCAAAGTGCCTCATTGGCTGCTATAGGCCACCTGGAACAACTTCCTCTAATTTGGATTGAACTTCAAACACAGCCAAACTAATTAATGGGTTTAACTGAACAGCGTAGGGGACATGTCACAATCTCAGTAACCATGTACTGTATTCACTGCGTCTAGTGCTTAAAAGAAACCCTAGCCAATATAATCCTCTGAGCATTTTGAGAAACTTAAGGTATACGAATCTTCTTCATCTTTGTGAATTGTAAGATCACCCCTAGATATTTAAAATATGCCACTAGTTCATGTTTCTGGTTAACTTTCTGGATTCCATTAAAGTTAATTTAAAGCACATAATCCTTATTAAAGAGAACCAAGGTCTCCACCCTTCTGCTTAACTGTATTGGTATCGGTGATAGTAATCTTGTATGCAGTTGTCCCAGTTATTTTCTTTGCTCATTTGTACACTTAGTGGGATGATATTCTGTTTTGTGTAAGTGTCCTTTTATGGAACTGATATAAAAAAATAACAATAGGGCAAGGATGCATCCTAGCTCCATTCCCTTCCTAGATGATGTTCGGTCATGCCAACATTGATAGTTAATTTGTAGAAAGCAAGCAACTGGCAACCTATTCAAGAAATTGAATCAAAAGTTTCTTTGAATAATGAAAATAAAGTTGTACAATTGAGATCAATTCTCTTTCACTTCTAATTCTCTTTCACTTGTTTCAATTCTTTATAGATTGTGTTTCATTTGATTGTTTGAAGAACTCAGGAGCTGAGCAGGGGAAGCATGACTGGGAACTTTGTTTTTAAATGGAGCAAGCAAGTCTTCCTTGGGAGAAGGAATGACTTAGTGGGGTATTGAATACCGCTTTCACGAAGTTGCTTTCTAATAAGCATGCATTGTGTTGTACCTGAAGCTCACAGTGGCTACAATAAATTTATTAGTATTTAATTCTGCAAATATAAGATGCCTCCCTGATCTTCCTTTGACATAAATATCAATATCCTGTATTCATATATAGAATGAAAAGCTCCCGTGACATGAATTTCCCATTAGAATTCTGAATGACTTTTGTTTCCTACTTCACAATCATAACAAATTATTTTGAGTTCCAGTGGTGTTCCTATGCCTGTCTGCCTACGATAGATGGGTAGATCAGACAAAAGAACAGCACTTCGGGAAGGCCAGGGCATTGCTTTTTTTTTTTTTAAATTTTTGTTCTTATTTGGATTGTGCATTCCAAAAGATTACTTCATTTTTAAATAAAACTAAAAAATAAAGATAACAATCATGCTGTTGTCAACTGATAGCTTGGATAAATAGAATGAAACAGCCTGAGAAGCAACCATATAAGCTATAATTGGATGAAAGTTTAAACATCCCCCAAATCTGAAATTGCCCTGGAATTTGTGCTACAAGATATGAAGATTAGGATTTCTGAGTCCTGGGTGCCACCTTATGGTTACACTTTTGTATTGCATTTGGTTTCTGAAAATGCCTGTTGGAAATAAATTGGCTCTGCTCAGGATACTGAACAAAGGGATGAAAAATTGGAAGCTGGAAATGTCCCAGCCTCTGCCTGTCACCCAGTAAAGATTCCTGGGCATGCGTAAGAACTGGATGATGAATGGGTTTATATCACCCAGGCCCATAGAAGCAGGTGTAGCTTTCATTCATTTCTCCTCTCGTCTTATGAGCTTAAAGAAACTTGAACTCTAAGGCAAAATGGCGTAGCTTCTTTTGTAAAGGTGCTTTGCTGTCTGTAGGGTTTTGTTTTTTTTGACCTGACAGTATGAATATAAATCTGCTTTCATTTTTTTTTAATTGACAGCACAGTTCATGTTTATCTGCTCCACTTACTATATTGTCTTTTCCCTCATCCCCAATCGCTTTTTCAACTGTGCATAGTGGATAGTCTAGATGTGCTAGATGGAGGCAAGTGTGAATGGGGCCTTTGCTTTACTTCACCTGACTTGGGGGGCTTTATGGGTCCCAAAGTTTGCAACTCCCTGTTAACTATTTATTATAGTAAATAATAACTTATTCCTAATATGTCATTACGAGGCTATTAGGCCACATCCTGGACTATACAAGAAATTCATTTCTGTTAGTTTAGTATCTATTTCTGTTGGAGGAAATTGCAAAACTACAATAGTGTTATAAAATTGGGTTATAGGAGCATGACCTTGGTTGGTTGATTTAAACGTTTCGTATTACGAAAGCTTCTGCATTGACTGAAACAATGGGAACTTGATGCAATTGTCACATGAGCGATCACCTCTCTCACGCATTATGTATATTTTATAACCAAACAAGTTTTCAGCAATCCAATTCACTTCCGCATCCAGATTCTTTGCTAGTTTGCAGAAGCTAAATTCTGGTTTTATGGGATATAATTCTTCTGATTCCTAGTAAAAATCGTAAAGTCATCTTTGAGTCCTGGTGGCCTTTTCCATATTGTTTTCGTGGTAAGAGTATGGAAGTGGTTAGCCTTCTCCTGAGATTTTTTTTTTTTTTTACTTTTAATTTTTCCCTTTTTTTTTTTTTTTTTATTTTTTTTTTTTTTTTTATTTTTTTTTTTTTTTTTATTTTTTTTTTTTTTTTTATTTTTTTTTTTTTTTTTATTTTTTTTTTTTTTTTTATTTTTTTTTTTTTTTTTATTTTTTTTTTTTTTTTTAACTTTCAAGTCTACCCTGATATTTTCTGAGTCTCCCATCCAAATGCTACCTACGTCCAACCCTGCTTAGGTTCCAAGCCCAGTTGGGTCAGCCAGGTGTTGCTATCTATTGAGGCTTTGATTATGCTCTGTTTCATTAGTATAATCAAGCCTTCTCCACCCCAATGTCATCAAATCAGCCCTAGAATTTTATTCCTGGATAGCATCCAGAAGGAAGAAAAGTTTACATAATCTCTGCAACTAAACACTTTACTAATCCTGGCCCAAAGGGAGACTTATGTTGGAATTATGTGATCTATGTTTTGTAGCGTACCTTGATTTGGTAGCACACGGCATTAAACCAAATTTACTTAAAACTGGGGTAATGTCTCAGATTTCCTTTTAACATTCCTCCATCCCATATAATAATTCAAGCATCTAAATTACATGAATTTTTATTAGAAACAGGTTTTATAAATTAATTGGAAGTGTGGACAGAGAAGGGTCTGATATAAATATCCTGATTTTATATATTTATTTATATATCAAATTTGTCACTGCCCATCTTGTTAAAAAGCGACTCTGGGCGGTTTACAGAAAAGATAAAATCCATTCAAATACAATAAATATGCTGATGCTCTTCCAAGTAAAAAATTGGAATTAAACCATTTGATTAGAAGCCAGTTTTAGGTATTAAAGACTAGTTACCTTAAGGGTTGTATTACCTCTCTCCCCTGTTAAAAGAAATTTGATTTACTTGATGCTTTATCCAAGATAATGTCTACTAAAAATCTGTTAATGTCTAGCCTCTGATAAGTATCATTCAGGTAAACTGTCATCTTTTCCTATGACCACGTGAAATCGAAGACCCTCCATTGATTGCTTTAACAGATGCCAACTGAACAGCAGCACAGGCATTATGGAGCGAAATATTAAAAGGCTAAATGGGGAGCTAGCACGCTGCAAAGCAAAGAGGAGACCTCAAACATAATCTTTATTTACAAAAAATATTTTTGATGTTCATATGTGCCACAAAGGCATTCATAGAAAGTAAAAATGACACAAGGTTGCAGCCCCAAAACATGGATATTGTAAGATGATATGAGGGAACCTCGCTAACTTGCCTTTTGGTAAATGGGACCTTTGTGACTGCCTGTCTCATCTTAGCAGCCATTTTCTGATAGAGCCCAAAGCATGTTCTCAAAATTCCAGACGTGCCTATCAACCCAGAAATGCTGGGGGGCCTTGACTTGGGGACTGCTAATCAAGAACAACACTGTTGTTGAATCTGTAAACAATGTAATTTTAAAAAAATAAGCCCTAATAGAAAGGGAAATGTTCTTTGGTTGATTCATAATTGTACTGTGGTGGAGTCTGTCTAGTTAAGATTTGTTTTTCTTTCTTCTACATTCAGGTTCAGGGGGGGCAAAATGGCAGCCTCTACTTCATCATCATCAGCTGGTGGAGTGAGTGGGAGCTCTGTGACTGGATCTGGGTTTAGTGTGTCAGATCTTGCCACACCACAGAAAGCCCTCTTTACATACCCTAAAGGAGCCGGGGAAATGTTAGAAGGTAAGTGCTCTGCATAATTTTGGCTTGTAAGTCAAGATAGTGGCGTTTAATGCTTTGGCTGTGTTAACAGCCTCACTATGCCAGGATTTTTAACCGTGGTGTTTTAAATGAATCACAGTGGCCCATTTAATATATAAGTCTAAGTCAGAATAGATGGATTGGTGCAATGTACTAAGCCAAAACTAAGCAGACAACTTTATGACTTAACATTATGTATAAACGGAAGATAGACAGACAGGCAGGCAGGCAGGCAGGCAGGCAGGCAGGAAAATGTCTATACTTCTCATGCAGAAGGTACTATGGATCATTAAGATCAAGTTGATTCCTCTTTATATGAATTAGGTCTGTGTGAAGAGAGGAAGTACTTTGCCTAGAAAGAAGGAAGCAAATAAGTAAAACGCATGTCGCAACAGAAATGGTAACAGGTAGCACTGCAAACAACCTGATAGTGCAGTGGAACAAAGTAATAAAATGGGCAGTGTGGTCTTCCACAATGCAGTATCTTCCTTCTGGATATTACAATGGCATCAATAGTTATTTGGGAGGGAAGAAGAGAGTGAGAACCAGCAAGACTAGACCATGAGGCTGTGCAGTGCTTCTGCTTCTAAGGCAAAAAGATTCTTTGGAGCATGTAGGGGAACAAGTGTGGCACCTGTCTCCAACTCCTTCAAGCAGCTGCCTCTTTTCCTAAGATTGTGCACCTGCCCTCTGTGAAATGACATGTTTGGATGACTGGCATTACACTGAACAAGCTTTTCAAAAGAGATTTTGACATCATTTTTTCTTTGTGTTAACATCAGAACAAGCTACTTGGCTGTTGTAAGGAGGCATGTGGGTATTCTTCTATTCAGTTTTGAGTGGAATTGCATTCTCCCAAGGGAAAGGTAGGCAACTGTATATACCAGTTGTTGGATTTCCATTCCTATCAGCCACATGGCCACATGTCAGGGATGATGGGCATATAACTCAACAACATCTGGAGGGAGTTAGATTGCCTTCCCTACTTTAATGGATAATGTATACAAATAATCTACCTTTATTGCAAAAAACAAATAGCATCCACAGACACAGATCCTTCTACTAGCTATATCTGATGTGCCAGGTGTGACTCATTCTGGGTAAAGATAAGTAACCCTCAGTCAGCCGTGGGCTGCTAGCCTCCAAGTTATATACAATAAAGTGTTTACATGTGGGATGTGTTTAAAGGTCATTTAGGAGTTGCAACTAATATTAAAACAAAATCCCAAATGTGTTAGATAGTAACCCCCATATTTTCCAACCAACATAACCATTGGCTATAACCGGCTCAGAATTTCAAGATTTGTAATGTAAAACATCTGGAGGGTACCAGGTGGAAGGGCTGGTGTTGGCTAACTAGGAATACCCTTTGCTGGTGCTGAATAACTGCAATGGCTTTTTGTGTTAACAGAATGCTAAGTAATGGTGATTTCCTTTAGATGTTTTGCCATAGCTGATAAGAAGGGGGACAAGAGCAACCTTCTTCATGATGCTGTAGAAGTTTGCCTAGTACTCGTTTGGGATACTATTTCAATGCAAGAAGGCCTTTTCCAAATCTCAAGCATGTTTACTTTGTGTTTTCGCTCTGATTAGGACTGGTATAGCATCTACTTGTTGTTTTATCAATGATGGGATTTTTAATACATTATGTTATTACTGCTATTTTAAAAACTTTCCTATGAAAGTTTGTTTGAAGGGTGGGGCGTAATTTATAACTACTGGATAAAACTAAACTTCATCAAGAGTAGTTGGTGATGGCATCTAGTTGTTATTCCATTCTGCATGTTCTGGCCTTACATTCTGGTTTGTCTACTGACCTGGTCTAAACAATGGCTTGCTATTAACCATCCTGGCTGGACTAGTAAAGTTGCTCTGCCTGTGTTGGGAGACTTGCCTATGCAGATACGTAAAGTAATGATAGAATTGATAACCTGTTCACCCAATGCAGGAAATTCTGTTAGGGTCCTGCCTGTGCTTACTATTCTAGGATCTGTGTCTGACCCTGTAGGAGGATCCGGCAGGGAAGATTTAGCCAGAACAAGAATTACAGAGTGGAATACCCGTTTGTTATCAGTAGCAATATTTGTATCTGCCATGCCCTACCTCAATGTGGTGAGAGCTTGTGGTCCAACTGCTTTTGAAACAGTTCAGCTAGTTTTGAAAAACAGTTATGTGGCAAGGAAGAACACGGATTGAGAAAGAAAAGTTCAAAGCAATCTGTAGAAAATTAGATGCACAGTTCTTTGGACTTTGGCCTTAAACTCTCTTTTTATTTCTGCCAGTAGCTTTCTCCCAAGTGGTGATGTGTAGCTTTTTGGATCAGGATTAAAGTGATGATTATTTCACCTTCAGGTTAATAGGTGTGTTTATTCGTATACGAGTTTCATTAGTCTGGAAAGTATAATTAGCTATTTAGTGTGAGTTGTAGGATAGCAGGTTGTGGTTGCTAGACATGCTGTGGAAAATTCCAGGTTATTTCATATCTGTAAAAATCTGACTTTAAGAGTATTTAATTACAGGTCGCTCTGCATGGGCATATGTTTCAGAAATTACAAGACTTTCTGGTGAACAGCCTGCATGATGTGCTTTTTTTTTTGTTAAGCAAACAAGGAAGTAAGTTTTTAAAAAACGTTAGCAGAAACTGGTTGCTGAACCAAATTGCTCTCTGTTGTGATGATGGAGCTTGTTTTGGACTAGAAATGTACACGTGTAATTTGAACTCTTCCGAGTCCTTAAATTGCATTCTCTACCAGCAGTGGCAGAATCCAAAAAGAGAGTGGGCAACTATCTACCAGAACATCAGCACGCTGAAATCCCATTGAAATAAACAGCCTTAAAAGATATTTCACTGTGTTTGAATTATGTCCATTTCTGACATTCAGTGATGACAAACATCTCTTTGTTCTTTGTGCATTTCACAGCCTTAAGTGAATTATCTGTCCCCACTGTGATGTGGTACTGTATTGAGCTGTTGCATTCGTATGATCTGAACATTGGGTGTCAGTTTTATGTCAGAGCTGCTAGCCCAAGGAAAGGAAACTTCCAGTTTATAGGGCAGATGCAGCCCACAAGCCCTCCCCAACCAGCAGCAGAGCTTCCCTTCTTTGGGCTCTTTCGACAATTAATCTGGGGAAAGGATTGATTTTATGGGAGAATCAACTAGGCATTCTCTCAAAGTCTGTCTCCACCTGCCCCAGGCAGTAGTTGGGTTTAGATTAGAGTTGTCAATTTATGCAAGGCCTCATAAATGAGTGTATATCTATGGTGTGATTACATGTGAGTTGAGCTCCAGCAGGACATCACTTTACCATCAATCCAACCCAGTAGTGTGGCTTTCCAGCCGAAAAAGATCCTTCACTCTTGATGTGATGGGACAGACAAACAAGGATGTCTTTATTTTTCATGAAAACTGCAAATAAACTGGAGGAAGCCAAAAGACAAAGGTTGCATGTTTTGCCCTCCCCTGTACACTTCACTTTTCCTACTGCCAGAGAACTGATGAATGCCTAGATGTTATGGCTAACTTTCCCCAAGACTATCGAGCTGCTGGTTGTTTATTTGCTTGTTCAATTTATGTCCAGGAGCTTAAGGCAGCTTACATGGGAATTCTCTTTCATTTTATCCCTGCAGTAACACCTTTGTGAGGTAGTTCAGACTGCGAGTGAGTGACTTGTCCAAAATCACTCTGCAAATATCCATGGCTGAGCATTAGGGCTAAATCTAGGTCTCCTCAGTCATAGTTCAGCACCCACTATGCCGCAAGCTTTCACACTGGTTCTTCCTGGTCCCTCACAAACAGTTACCTCCTGAGAAAAGCAGGACACTGCCCTGTTTAGACCCATCAACTCATGTTATATTGACAGTGTGTTAAGCATTAAATATCAGAAGCTCCTGCAGCAGGCTGAATAATAATAAGTTGCAAGGCAAATATTCAGCTAAGTGTCAGCAGAATTATGGATGTATAAGGCTGGCCTAAGTTAGGGCCCCACAGGCAAATTTGCCTGCTTAATCATTTCTCATGTCTCATGGAGTAGGAGTAAGCCAGCACTATAACGTCAATGAGTCCTGAAGAACTGAGTGCTGAGCTGGTACCAGTAAAACAGCTGACCTGGGCTCTACTATAGAGGGCAGTACATACATGCAAAAACACCGTTGCCAGCTGATTCTGCTTATGTACAGCTGCTTTCCCAGCTTCAGCTACTCTGCTGTAAAACAGACTCTTCAATAAAGATTGTGTTTGAGGCTGCTAGTTTGCCGCAGGTAAGCCTCCAATTCATTTTTGAAATTAATCTAAATAAAATCACATTTGTTGGGCAAGGAACCTGGCGGGCATCAAGACAGGCTTTTCACGGGCACATTGATGCCCTTGGATGCTCTGCTGAGGATTCCTACCTTCCACCTCTAGTTCATGTCTCCAAGGTAGAGATGGGACACTGGAAACCTGTGTTCCCCGTTGCGCAAATACCATCGCAGTTTTAAACCTGTTTTTTGTGATTCATGGTTCTATTTTTCCAAGAAAAGATCTAGAGTTATTATGCAAATGCAATCCGGGAAAGCCACTACCAGCTATCTTGTTTAGATTCCCTCAACAAAATGGGGAGTGTGGTGCGTAATTTCCAAACAAGTCATGTGACTGTTCTACATCTTAGAACAGAGTTAGACAAACTCTGTAGTCCAAAGCTGCTTATTCTTTCCAGAACTTCCTCCAAAAATGGGCAGTGCCATTTTCCACCATTTTTAGATATGCAAGACATGAAAATGTAGCATATGGCTTGAAAGAATTTTTTAACTACAACTGAAAAAAAACCACAACTCCCAAGAATGAACTCAAAAATCAGAAAAAATAAAAACACCTGGTATGTGGTTTGGGTCTCCTACCTACTAGATATCATTGGCATATCACTGATGTTTTCCCCTCCCTCCCACATATTAAAAGCGATTTCTAGATGTCAAGAGGTTGGCCAGCCTTGTCTTAGACAACCAGTTCTGAAACTGGTGCCTCCAGAAGCAGTTGTGGTGAATGGGATGATAGGAATTACAATTCAGAACATCTGGAAGACACCAGGCTCATAAAGATGGTTTAGTGTTTTTGTCCCAGAGATTGTATAATAGCATGTTCTGAAAGTCAGTTGGTAATGCCAAGTAGCAGGTAGCCTGTATTTGAGAGAATTTGAATTGGACAGTTGAGTAACAAGATAATTCTCTGGCTTAAATCAATTAGCTTAGATTTCATGTCTGTGAATGAAAATAGGAACTAAAGAATGGTTGGTGTCATTGCTAATTCAATTCATTCCTTATATGAGATACCTCAACATGTACTATTGGGTCTCTCTGTGTTGTTGTCAGCTTGGCAGGCTGTGATTTGCCATTTAGGGGTGAGTGACCCATAACATCCCTCAAAGTAAAAGTTCCTTGGAGAATTTATTGTTTTCAGGACCTTGAGTTTCTCCTGTTCTTGGGCACAGATAGTGTGCTAGTCTTGCAGCAGTCTTGAAGGCCTCTTGAACTGTAATTTAAATGGTGGTATCCGTGACATGATTTTTTTTTCTTGCAAGGATGAGATTTGTTGCCGGTTTATTTAAAGAGGATTGAAGTGACATTGTTTTTCTTTCATACCGTATGCAAGAACCATGAAATGTTTTTGTTCCAATATTTCAGTATAATATGGCTGTAAGGACCTGTCTCATATTATGCTAGTCAGACCCTATCATCCATCTAGCTCTGTATGATCTCCTACACTGATTAATAATGGCTGTCTGAGGTTTCAGATGGAGTTTTTCCCAGCCCTTTGGGGAGCTGCTGGAAATTAAATCTGGGATGTTTTATATCATCTGAGTTGCCAATCATTTATATAGGTTTGGGCTATTTTTAACCAAGTTTAACATTATACATTCATTAATTCATTCACAGCACTTATAGGGCTGTCCAACTCGAACATTGCAATAATGGGGTGGCTTACAAGAAATCAAAAGATAAGGAAAACAAAATATACAGTTCCTATGAAAAAGCCCATATGAAATTTTTAATAGGTGATCAGGAACTCCCCTCCTGGAGATGGGATTCCAGTCATTCTGGCCCTGGCATCCAAGGAAAAGCCAGGTTTGAAATGCCTTTCTAAAGGCCAACAGGGTCAAGGCCAAACATATATCAGGGAGAAGATCATTCCAGAGAGCAGGGCCTGCAATAGAAAAGGCGTACCTCCTGAGTCCCATTGTTGAAAGAAAGGACTTGAAGCGTGCCTACCTATTGGAGCATGTGGACAGGCCAATACCCTTAAAGAGAGGTGGTCTCACAAATAAACTGGTTGTGTGCCTTGTAGGACTTTATAGGTGATAACCATCATCTTGAATTGTACCTGGAAGCCTATAGGGAACCAGTGCAGCTTGCAAAGTGCTGGTATTACATGGGCGTACTTAAGCCCTTTATTGCCCAAGCTGCTGCAGTCTGGACCAATTGTGGCTTTTGGATGGTTTTCAAGGGCAGCCCCATATAAAACGTGCTGCAATAGTGCAATCAGGAAATGATTAAGGCATGAGTAACAATGAACAGGGCCTCCTGATCCCTCCTGGCCAAAGCTGCCTCCTGCTGTTTGAGTAGGAGCTGTGAGTCCCTTGGTAGGGTTGATCTGAAGCCTATTCTTCCCCATCCAGACACCCACAGCCTCTAGACACTGGAATAGGACCTAATTTTTTGGCCAAGGAAAATATATACAATTGAGTATCATCGGCATTCTGATGATATTGCACATGCTGATAGATGGACGACCTCTCCCAACAGTTTCACATAGATGATAAAAAGAAATGGGGAAGGTGTCAAGTCCTGAGGCACCCCATAGAGCTGGGGTCTAGTGCACAAGGAAGCTTCTGGCTAGCACTCAGTATCTCAGTATGGACTGCCAGCCTCCTCTGCTTTCTCTGTCACATTCACACTTTGCTCTCACCAGGGGAGGCAGAGAGGTAAGCAACAGAACAATCACTCGAAAGCTAGGATAAGCCCCCATCCCCCTTTCATCTCCCACTCAGGGGAAGAATAAACAGCCATATCCTCAGCCACTCAATAAGTGCATTAAAATCCACCCAGTCTGGATGAAGGTCTGCAGTCCAAAAATCCATTCCAACCTCACCTGAAACATCAGCCTTAAGTTTGAAAAGCCTCAAGCTGCCGTATGATGGTAGACGTTATGCTTGCTTCAGCTGCTTTGGCCCCGGCAAGTCCCATTGCAGTGTAAGGGGAGTGAGATGGCTGCCTTCCCCTTCCAGGCTTCAGGATTCAGTGAAGGCAAGATGGCAGCTCTCCTCCAGGCATCTCATCTTGGTTACAAAATGCCAGTCAGGACCACTAGCCAGCAACACCTCCTGAGGTTTGATGTCAGTGCTTAAACACATCACCCCTCCATAATGCTAAGGGCCACCAAGGACAGCCCAGCCAATTCACCACTGAGCCACTGAAGAAGTATTCATGTCTGTTAACCAGGGCTGGCGGGGCAGGGCAGGGCAGGCCAATCAGAAAATGGCTGGATTAGACCAAGAATCCAGCATACTGTTCCAAAAAGGTGCAAGCCAGATATATTTGAATCCATTGCTTGAAGATGACAGCAGCAAAGGGTGTTGGCTGTTGAGCATATACGGAGTTTCCTGGAGACAGCTGGCTAGTCATTGTTGGACAGGAGGCTAAACTGTTGGCCTGGTTCAGCATTGTTCTGATTTTCCAGACAGTTGTTTGATATGGTTTATCTCACTACTGTACAAACCCAGACACTTGTCAGTTTACATCCTTGGTACAAAAACAAGACTATTGTTCTTGGTGACTGTCTTAGAAGGCTTTTCAGGATCATAAATATTTTAGACTCAGTTTTTTTCTAGTTTTTTTTTCTATTTACAGATGGGTCAGAACGATTCCTTTGTGAATCTGTTTTCAGCTATCAAGTTGCATCCACACTAAAACAAGTGAAACATGGTAAGTAAATAACTCACACACTCTGTTGTGTCAGTGGATGTGTATGCTACAGAAATGAAGTAAAGTAATAGAAGTACCTTACTGAAAGCAGCAAGATAGGGTAGGGTAGGGTAGGGGAGAAGAGAACAGAACAGAACAGAAATTTAGTAGATGTCTAGTGAACCTATTGTCACAATATCATCTTGTGCAATAGAAAAGCAAAAACAATGTTTTATCTATATGGTTTACTTACTGAGGAGATAAGTTTGTAACTTCTATTACTTGATGCTGTTGTATTCATAAAATGAGGTATGAACATTGCACTCATAGGAGAAACCCTTGTGAGCCATAATTTCGCTGTTAATAAAGATTGCTATCTTTCTCTCCCGGTCATCTGGTTTATATCTCATCTTGCTTCATCATCTGTTCCTCCTCATTCTTGGTTCACATGGTATATTGGACATCAGTTACTTGCTTCTGAAATGCTATCAAGATGGAACAGAACTCTATAAAATAGCTTTATACTTCTGTGGAAGAAATTATCTGATTAGATTAAGTCTTTCTGTAGGAAACTTGATCACTTACTATTTCAGCCATACTTTGTGGCCAGAGAGATTGGCCAAGAATTTTTAAAATGCTATACTTCAGTCAAGTAAATTTTATGCTTTATTAGATGGCTGTTCTGAAGTCAGAGTCTCTTGCAAATCTTCAATTTTGTGAGTATATATCTTTTGGGCCCACAGAGAGATGGGCATTTTTAAGGTCTAGAGCAGAGTATCTCAACCTTGGCAACTTCAACTCCCAGAATTCCCCAGCCAGCCATCTTCAAGTTGCCAGGGTTGAGAAACACTGCTCTAGAGTATGCCATAATATAGAATATGTTAAGGCTAATGGTTGTGTATAAAATCTGTTTGCCTACCTATGTAAAAAAAAAAAAAAAAGAGTACAATAAGGCATACACATTGCTAGTACCACCACCACCACCTCACAGTGGTATGGTTGATCTTGCATTGAGATATTGCTTTATCTGTCCTCTGTTAGCACAGAATGTAAGGAGTTAAAACTCACCAGGGAGAAACTGTTTGACGTGACACCCCCAAAGTGTTCATTAGCGGGGTAAATAGTCTTTACCCAGACCACTCTTTACCCAGGATAGTGCTCCGATTGTGGTGAAAGTCAGTATAAAATTTATTTTTGAAGGTGATGACAGCTGGAATCAAAGTAGGTCAAAACATAGTGAAATTGGAAAAGTGTACTTTGCAAAAAGTAAAGAACTCATAGTGAAAGTGAAAAAAGGAAAGTGGAAAATTTGGGTTAGGGTTAAATATTAAGATGACAAGGTTTTTGTCAGCTATCTACAACTGCCTTCACTTTTCACTGTCAACTGTTAGGTTGTATGTGCTAGAGAAATAAAGAGGAGATTAATTCTAGGCAAGATGGCAATGAAAAATATAGACAAGTTCATAAGGATAAGGATATTTCAGTGGCAATAAAGATTAGAATCATTAAAACAAAGGTCTTTTGAATGGTTCTGTGTGGATTTGAAAGCTAGACATTGAGAAGATAGTTGCCTTTGAATTATGGTTTTGAATGCCATAAATACATTCTGAACCAAATAAAGGCTGATTGTTGCCTTGAGGTGATGATCACAAGCAGAAACTCCCATACTGCAGGCATGTGGGGTGAGAGATGATGAATTAGAAAAAATGGTATTATTCAAGACTGAGAAAAGGAAAAGATGAAATAAAGTGTCTGGATGGGATAATTCCAGATAGTTACTTGAGTGCCCTTGGAACAGCTATGAATTATTATTAAAAACAACTCTAGATAGAGAGCATTTGGTTAATCTGAATCAATGGCACCTAACTATTAATGATGTTACATATATCTGTGAAGCCAAGATTTTCTAGATCTTTTTCCTTGGGGTCAGGGAAGCCTTAGGTGTCCCCCCCCCCATGCTAAGTTTATTTTAGTGCAATGTTGAAACTTTATTAATATTTCCCATCTCAAAATATTTATTGCATTTATCAACATACATACAACTTTATACATGTTTATAAACATTTAATACATTTAAGTGTTAGTACATTTATAAACATGCCATCCAAGTATTAAGACTGTTGACACTTCAGGTTTAGTTTAATAGGGAATTCCCTTTAAAGCAGTGTTGTCCAAACTTGGCCACTTTAAGATGAGTGGACTTCAACTCCCAGAAATTCCCCACCCAGACGTGGTTTTCAGGAATTTCTTGTGGGGGGTTGTGGGGGGTTTGATGGACACTCCTTTTAAGAGAGCTAAATTGGAT